GCGTGATGTGCTATGTTTTTCAGAATATATTAGCTAGCCAGTCCAGGATGATCTCCAACGTAGCGCAAGGTGGTGATGGTTACAGAAACGTGTAATGCCATGGATTTAGGTACTTAGGGAGTCTTACTGGTGGAGACAGTCATCCCTCACCATCTGTGGGCTCAGGTGATTTTTTTTCTAGATAGGGTAGACTTGAGCATTTAAATTCTGCTGATGCCACACTTCAACATTACAATCTTTTGTTGATTTGTACAAGAAGGAGCACTGGGGATCAGGGCTCCTGCTCCTGGTTAGTCGATTTATGCCATAGACAGCTTTTACATTTTTGACCTAGTGTTTCCATGACTGACCAAAAGGATTATTTCTTTGAAAAAAAAATCAAGGTGATTAAGCTATCTAAACTTTGATTCCTTTATTTCTCACAAAATATTATTCAAGGTCTCTGTTTACTAGCAATTTCAGGTAGTCCTTAGGGAGACAGTGCTGAAGGCTGCTTGGTCCAGAGCAGATACCTGGCATGTCCAAGTATCGAGCGATTGCTGCAATGTCTCAAGAGTGAGGGGTTTTTTGTTGTTGCTTGTTTTACTGAATCTCAATACAGGTTTGTGCAGAATCTAGAGCGCCACATTCTTAAAGTGTGCATAAAGCCATTAGTATTACACTGATAAAGGTAGGAGACTAGAGAGCAGTGGAACTCTTCGGTTAAGAACAAAACTCATGGATGGGTAGCTGTCAAAACAAGCTTAATGGCTTACCATTAATGTAGGCACATTGATTTTCCCTCAAAACTCGTTCCGATTTCTTAGTCATTTCACCATTCCCTTTCTTCTCCGGCCATTCGAAGAGACTCTCCTTCAGGTTTCCCTGGAGGATCTTCATAAAGCAGTGTGAGTCAGTGTGATCATGGATGCTGCTGTATATGTAAAAGAATAACCAAACTCAGTGCGATAGACATATTTAACTTCAGCACAGCGAGCAGGACAGATGGCACAGCCTACTGTATCTGGACATAGCCCTAGAGTGAAACGCCACTGCGCATGGGTCTTAGGAAAAAAACATTCAGAGTGACTAGGTTATGCCTGCTTAAAACTGCTGTTTTATAAACGTACGGAGATAAAGCAGGACTTGGAGAAGACTCAGATATCGGTCAGTATATGTCTTTGCCACAGGGAAATACAAAGGAAGGAAAGAGGAGGGAGAAGGGCAAAACAATTCTTCAGAGCACAAAAACTCTTGTGGGCCAGGAAACAAAACAACACTTCCCACGGTGACCACGGGCAGGGGATGGTACACCTGGTATTCGTAGATCCGTCGTGCTCGCTCCCAAAACATGGGAAGGATGAGCTCCTTCTCCTTAGTTTCTGTGGTCTTTACTGCTGGGGTGCACAGAAATTTGCTGAAGGAAAAAATGCTGTACCTCTGACTTACAACCAGCTACAGTAAGCTGTTAATTCCCCCAGCTGGCAAAACACGAACAAAACAGCAGGATCTGGTACGATTTTCCTGTTGGCTTGATCTCCGAAGCATGTTTTAATTGCTGTATTTGGAGACATATGGGATAGATGTGTAGTTTAGTTTTGATTTCTTTTTTTTTTTTTAATAGAGGACTAATTGTTTTAGAAGCCAGTGGTATTACAACAAAAGGAGAGCTCTCCCCTCATTGGGGGCCGGGGAGAAGGGGGAATTCGACCCTCCCAGAAGCACAGTGCTAATGAGTTTCAATCAAAAAGCTGGTACTTGTGCGTTACTGTTTTCAGTAAACAAATGTCAGGGTTTCTTACAAAATGAGATGCCAAGAGAGCAGAGCTTGCTTCAGGCACAGAACAGTTCACAAATGCCACGTTGTCACGCTCCTTCCACAGGCCATGAGAACAATCTGATCCTCCTCTTATAGGAAGCAAAAACAACTGTGGTCTCAGCCTAGCTCCAGCAAATGCTCATCCAACGCAAACACAGCTTGATATAAATTACAGGCTTTGTGGGAACAGCGCGGAAGGAGTAGAGCTGGTGGTCTTGGTTCCTATATCCTCCTAACGTCATGGCATCGCCTAGAGAATACTGTCCATGAGGTACTTGCAAGAGATACAGCAGATAGAGAGGACTGCTACACTGGTAGGAGCTCTGCACCGCTCAGTTTCCAGACGCCTTCTGACAGCTTACGTAGGGCTGATTATTTTTCTCTTTTTTGTACAACAGTGAAAGTTACAGTGGCTTTACGTGTTGGCTAAAACTACAGGCTTTGGATACAAACCTGCCATGCCCTTCACCCCAGCACAAGATCATCAAGTTGAACTTTCCGTTTCCATTGTCCACAAGATTTCTTGTATACCTGAAATACAAAATGTTTGGCTTTTACTGTACTGATACGCCTGTAAAAGACAAAATGACACAAACACGTTTATGAAGGAAGGTTGTGACATATGAAAATCCTTTTTCTTCTTTACGCTTAAGCTTTGGTTTTTGTTCTTTTTCTGGGAAGAATAAATGGACGTGTTTAATATTTTATAATCGTATTGCCTTTGAATTACATAGATGATTGGCATTTTGGAACTTGAAGTCTGAGACTAGAGTGGTAGACAGGATCAAATCAAAATAGTTATTGGATGAAGTCACTTCAGCAGCTGGCTTATAATTAGAAACAGAGGACTGCAGTGAAACAAGAAAAATAGATGGTTACATTCTTCTGCAGCTCCTTCTCAGATATTCTTGGCTTTCTGTTTCACAGCGCTCATTTGTACAACGCCAAAAAAACCAAGGAAAATAAGATAGCAGGCTTTCCATAAATGGTCCTCCTACTCTGTTCCTGAAAGTTCTACATCATGTAGTGTAGCATTCACGTGTGGATAAAACACCTGGGGGGTAATTTCTGCCAGCACCTACTTCTAAAGTTTATCAGAGCAAGATTTCTTTAAAAAAAATTATAGGTGGCACAGAATAAGCTTGCTCCTAAAGGCTTTTTATCGGTGTGCTCTAGACCGACTTGCTCTCGGGGCTTGAAAACATCATTGACAACAACAGCTTGTTTCCTTGGGGGCTCCTGCAAGCCTCACCCAAGCTCTGCACATCGCGTCCTGTTGACCAGTTCCCCAGAGAAGGGACTGGGATTTTGCTCTACGTGTTACGTTCAACAGTGGGGGTCTCCTGACCCGGGGCTGGTGCTTCTAGCTGTTACGGTGCAAGCAATCCGCTGGGACCCGCCGATTCCATTTTAGCTTCAGTCACGACTACTCGCACTTTACTTTGCCAAGGAAAGCAAATATTTGTGCCGATAACAGGGACGCCTCACTCTCGCCTAAAAGATGCAGGCGGGGCAGACGGAAAGTGCACCCATGTCAATGGAACGTTTTTTTTAGTCAGCTTCCCTGCCAGACCACTCTATTTTATTCAAGATAGGATGCTCGTAACTAATTCCAAAGCATAACATGTATTCCGTATGCTGCCTCTCACCGCATCCACAATTTCTGCGTGTACGAGGTAGACATATTTTTCACATGCTGTAAGAACATAAGCAATCAATGCTGGCATTTGACCGAACTTTTCAAGTGCTGTTATTTCTGTACAGCAGGTCTGGCTGGCCAAAAGAAAAAAAAAAGGCTGCCGTGCATACTTCTAATGTTAGCACACTTTGTTTTTCCAATTCTTAGTTTCCTTTGTTCTGTTACAAATTTTGTCATTTGTTCTGAATGGAGGATAGTCAACACGAGGCGAAAGGAGGGTAAAAAAAAGTCAGGGTAGAATGATGTTTTCATGATAGCAGGGTTAAAAGGAAAAGTTTTGGGGTCTGGGGTTGGGCTTTTTATTGTTTTTTTAAAGGAAGTGCTCAAAGAAAATGCATTTCTATTGAAATTTAAGACGGGGAAGGCATCAATAGCAGGAATAAATCGGTTGTTAGCCAAGTAGGAGCGACTCAAACCCTCGCGGGCGCTCCCCTCCCTTCTGGCAAGCAGCACAGAGCCTCGCGCTGCCCTACGGCGGGTGCAGAAGGGACCGAAGTGGGGCGGGGGGCAAGGGGGGGAGAAGCCCGGGCGGCTCCCGACCCACCGGT